GTCTATCTGAATAAATATTCAACAAATATTATCTATTAAAATAAAATAAACAATTCCTGTACAATAAATACCTTCTCATTCAACATTTATTCCTGTACAATAAATGTTGTGAATGAGAAGTGATATATACAAAGACTCAATATCCTCGAAATATTTTAATTATTACTTTTGTTGTAATAAATAAAACCTTCCTATTTTCGTCTGGAATTTTTCCAAAACTAAATCCAAAGCTTTTATTTTGTGAAACTAAGAAATGGGAAAGACAAATACTCTGGCCCTGTTTTGTCAGCTCGCGTGTTCAAATATTATATAAGCACCGCTCTTTATATGGTAACCGTATTTGCAGTACTATAATTATAGAATAAACACGGAATGGTAGAATTAAAACACCTGATAAATGCTCTTTAAGAATGATTCCTAGCAAAGTAAATCTTGTCTAGTTTGCTTAGGAGTAGTATATTAATCTGCAACATTTAATTCTTTTAACATTAAAAAGCTCTTAAATAAACACTACGCTTATTTAACTAATTCCTGACATCATAAATGTTAAGAGTTAATTAAAAAGATTGAAATTATAATTTTTTTTCTATTCTGCTAAGCTGAAATATTTATTAAGTGTGTTATATTTTTAAAAGTTTTTGAAATAATTTATTTAAACATTTAAAATAATTTCTTAAGGCAATAAAACTTGATCAATTTTTAAGCTTCTCCCTTTTGGAAATGTTGATGGGAATTTCTACTTTGAGTGAGTCAGTATTTATTAAAGTCTCACTATAGAGCAACACAATGGGTATTGGCAATGGACCTGGTATTTTTGAACCAAGGTCAAGAAATTTTACTTCGATATCCCTTATCAATAAACGTTGGGCATTAAAAACTCTTCCATATGATGAGGACGTAACCTCTCGTGAGCTATTTTCTTTTTTTTTTACGTTCCACATCTCCCTTCAAAAGAATTTTGAAGCACAGTTAAGTTTAATGTGGCCTTATTGGTCACAGAGTATTGGTGGTAGAGTCAAGGCTTGAATTCAGAACTCGTTTTGAGGATATTTGTTCCTAAAGCTGAGATTATGATCACGGGCTACTGCGGTTTCTCTTTTTACAGGAAAAATATTCCAATTCCCAAAAAGAGCCTTAGAACATAAAAAATATATAGTTTTAAATGCAAAACAAATTCTTTCAATGCTGGCATTCTCCATATATGATTTCTACATGAAGATTAATTCTTTTTTAAACAGGTTAAAAGTTCAAAATTAAGAAAGGCAAAAGAAAAAAAAAATCTTTCCCTTCTTTTTTGTAATAATTTGTTGTTCAGACAAAATCATCATTGCCTCTTCCATACGCATACCCTTCTATTAATCCAAGAATGATTTTGAATCTATCGCATCCTTGTTCAACAAATACCTTCGCTTTTCCATTCATTTCGATTGCCTCTGACAAATGCGGTTATTTCAAATTATATATATATATACACTCCCACTATGCACTTTTTATACATATATATCTACACCATCTTATAATTTTCTCGAAGGCGTATTTCTCGGTGGCTGTGATGGTAGCGCACAGTGAAAGCACTGCAATTTGCTCTGGAGCGGATATGCGAAGGCTGCAACCACACCCTTAGCGGATATTTCTCTGATTGGATGAAAGGACCGACAGTTATTTACTTTAATATCAACTAAATTTCCCATCCCCTTTTTCTTTGCTACGATTATATATCTAGGGATGTTTTAAGCGAAGACTTTGCTTATTGTGTGTGATTTTTGTTCATTTGTTTAGAAACTCTGTGTAATACTAAGCATTAAGGCTGGGTCCGGACCTTTCTTGGTGTTTTTGCTTGTTTTTTCTGAAGTACTATGTGACCTTTTGAATTTTCAGGTTTAACATTAGATGAAATGCTAGGCTTTTGGACTCATTCATGGAATGGCTAAAGAGAAAGAGTAAAGAAAACCATAATCAGCGATTTACGGGAATGTGATGCGATTCTTTTCAGTCAATTGGAGAAACATCCCTCTCCACCCCATCCCCCTTTTCTCGATTATCAGCTTCCCAGTCCTTGATATAAAATTTAGTATTTGTGTGAAATAAAAATGGCCAGAGTAATCATTAAATGTCAGACAGAGGTTGAAGGATGTTTTGCAATGTCGAGCAAGGGCTATAAAGAGGCCTAATGCTTATATATCAACTTAGTGTTTACAACAAAGAAAATGTAAGGCGATACTACAAGGAAAGGTGCATTGATTTGCTCCACAATCAAATAAAAGTGATTATTTTTTAAATTTCTATTGGGCTGTGGATTGGTTTTTATCACTTGGAAATGAAGCAAATATATATTCATTGATATATAGGAAAAAATTACAAGAAAAAATGATTAAATAATTCTTTCTCCTCTATCTCTACATAAGTATATATACACATATATATCTTCTCTCTCTCTCTCTCTCTCTCTCTCTCTCTCTATATATATATATATATATCTTCTATACATAAAGAGAATAAAGGGAATAAAATGATAGTGCAGCATTAAAAACAACTGATTAACAATCTAAAAATGTTACAAGTTTTATATTTTCAAACTGAAGTACTTTTTATCAAATACTGTATAAATTTAACATTTAGAACTAAAAATTAATCTTTTTGGTCAATTATGAAGGATATCTCATCTTTACTTCATAATAAGAAAAAATACTCGTTCGATCCGTATAAAAATATATTAATTTTATTAATAACTTCTAAAAAGTATTTGAAATTATAAATGTCATATTTAAATTTCAGTTAATAATTAAACAATATAAATATTGAATTTAAAATAATTATAAATATTTGATAATTATTACAAGATAATAAAAAAAGTTCCTTTATTGCAAATGAACAAGGTAAAAAATTATCAAAAAATTACAAAAACAAACGTTTTATTTTAGTTAAAAATGGTCAAAACTGATTTTACAAAATTTTATCCTTCTATTCAATCAGGAAATAAATTTGCTTGCTTATTTTTGGAATAATACCTAGAAAAAAATAAATTAACTAAAATGTATTGTTTGGAAGGTTAATTTTATATTTCATCTCTTGAAAATTATTTTAAACACTACGAGAATATATTTAATAACATAACATAATTCATTTAGTAATAAATTTTCTTTTATCTATGCTTCGATCGTCTAGTTATTTACACATAATTTTTGTAAAGCCATATGATAAATAAAGCATCCTTATTTTTCAAAATTAGAGAAAACTTTTTTTTATCTAGTAACTATTACCTCATACACTGAAGTCTAAAATGCGGATGCAAACAGTCAAATATCAAGCTGCTTCATGATTCATTAAAATCCTTCACTTTAAAGATTTTTAGAACGGTGCCATTTTTTTCTGTGATTCTTAGGATAAATTACTTAAATTAATAAAAATAAAATAATGCTTTCAAAGACAGACCGAAGGGAAAAAATGAATTGAGTTTTTGTTAGTAGTTTAAAAGATAGTCCTTAGACAAGCCAATTCAGGAAATTACTTGGCAAAATATTATAAAAAAAAGTTTTTGGAAAACCGTCTCCGGTAACATTCTGTTTCCTAACCTGTACAATTATATCGAAGAATTTCTGATTTAAATTGCCCTTGATAGCGAACATAGGTAAGCACAACGCAAGGCTAGGCTTAACGGACTCACTCAAGCATCATTTCACAGCCACTGTAATTTCTTTGGTTATTTGCTTCTAGCCGCCGAATGTTTGGACAAGGTCCACCCACACTTTTTTTCCTCCCCTAGGAAAAAAAAGTGGGGGTGTACAAGAGACCTGGCGCCATGACATTTCATGCATTAGCATCTGTTTGCACCCATTTCATGCTTCCTCGACTAACACTAAATCATTGTAATAAGACGGTTTCCATTCTCTCAGATTCGTAATTTCCCTCTAGTTTCCTCTCGGCCGTGTATTTTCGTTTTCATAGTTGCTGGGTAATTTTTTTTTCCTTTTCAATTGCCTCCCTCCTCCTCCGCAAATTTTTTTTTTCGGAAAGGGGGGGGGGAGAAGAAACACCTCCATCTCATTCTCTTTTTTAATATTATTTTATATTCTTTCTTCAACTGAACAGAAGACGTGGAATTATATAACACCGACAGCCGGGTTGTCTTTTTATACCATTTATCTTTCTGCAATGAGTGATGTGTCACTTCGTGTTTGGCTGGGTTCGATTAATGTCGTACTAGAGCGCACAATTGGTGACACGCAACTTTCCAGAGTACTGTGGAAAAAACATATTGCTAGACACTATTATCAGGACGGTATTTATCGGAAGAGAAAAAAGTTCTTTTAGAGCAGGGGTGTCAAACTCACGGTCCATAACGAACATTTTTGCTGCCCATAATATATAATAAAATCGCCCACAATAATATATAATAAAATTTTAAAATTTCTCCGAAAATGGGAATTATAGAAGCAGAGAAGAGATGTCAAATATCAGGACGTGTAAACATTAAATTTTTATTGTTCCTTTTTTATGTTTATTAAAATGTATTATTCGAAATAAAATTACATTTTTATGAACAAAGAAATTTTTTGAGGGCCACCTACAATTAAACCGTGTTTGTTTGGCCCAAGTTAGCTTTTGAGTTTGATACCCTTGTTTTAGAGGAACCAGATTATTAGTTTAAGACTTGAAACGTTTAAAGGTTGATAAATGTAGTCACTATGCCAATATTATATGTATTTCTTTCCAATGGTGCTGCGGATTGGTGTCTTACCATTGTCGACCTAGTACATTTCCCAGGAGCTGGTACCACTTTTTAGTGCGGCACCGTATAGGAGATACCATTTGCTGCAAGTAATTTTGTAACCCAGTTTCCTCCCCAGAAAGAGGCACTGAACCTGACGATGCTAACATATTCTAGGAATTTAATTGTGCCGAGAGCACCTAAGCCAAGCAGGCACTCAAGGGATATCTTTAACACGCCACCTAATCATACGACATGGATGCGGTTTATTTTCTGCATCATAAAGATCGACCGACTTGGGCCGGGGTCGAGCCTGCAACCTCTGGCATACAAGGTCAGTGACAAACCAACTAGGCTACCAAGCAGGCCCAATCAATAGATTAATCAATACAAATTAGGTTGTATTGATTAATCTATTGGTAGAAATAATGTGAATTTATATATATATATAGATCCTCAGAAGTATTTTCAATATAGTTGAAAAATAAGAATATAGGCAGTATAAAATTCATAAGTTATTTACAATAGTTTCGCATTTAATCTGTAAAGTCGTTTTCTTGTTTGAAAGTTTATGGCTACACATTTCTGCCCTATCAAAGGTTCGCTTAAGAATATTTATTCCTATTTCATTCTTTAACCAGATAATAAGATCGACCTCAGAATATTACCCATTTTCCACGTCCACAATAAGAGGATTTTTATCGCGACACATTTGAAAAGTACCAACAAATATCCCACGATAGTCTTTATAGTAATCCAAATTTTTACATTAAATGTTTTTATTAATTTATAGAACAAGGTGTTATTTCAAAAATCCCCGATACTTTGGATAATCGGAAAGAAGAAGCGTTTTTACAGTCAACGAAAGATAAGATTTAAGGGACGGATTATAGTATATTTATCAGCTCTCTGTTATACTTCTTGACCTTTGATGAATAACAAGTGTATAATACACGCATATAGGCCTGAAAAATGTGTCGAGAAACTAAATTATTCGTTTTTGGTAATGTAATTGGATATGTTTATCACACACATTTCAAGTTTTAAAGGAAAAAAGATTTTCTTAAAAGCAAACTGTAGACAGGAAGCTGAAATTAATTTTCATGTTTTTTAGAAAAGTTTATCAACAGCAATTAAAATATGTATGCTTTCCAAGGCAATACATGTGTGGAAGTATCCTGAATGGAAAAACAAGTAATGAGAGATTAATAAAATTTTTTTACTTTTCTTTAAAGAGAGTTGCTACATTCACTTTGACTTCAAAATCTTCATATGTAACTGAAATTAAGTTAAAATATAATTTTTGTTTCTTGGCAATATATTTTTTTAAAACTTGTTTTATTAGTATAAAGTATAATCCAAAGCATTGATCAAAATTTGCAAGTATGATATAATATTAATAAACACAATTACATTTAAAGAACAAGTAATTTTTCAGAATTTATTGCGTAAATACTAATAATCATCCTTTTTTTTATGTAACTGACATTCATTCTTCGTTATTCAATAACGTTTTTGTTTTATCAGTAAATAATGAAAATCAGTGGTTTCATTAACACAATAAATATTGCTTTAAAACAAAAGCTAAAACAAATCTTTTAGGAAAAGTAGATTTTTTTTAAAACATGGGAAGATAGGAACTAAAAAAAAATATAAATTTTTATCTAGCTCTATAAATAATTTTAAAAAATAGATAGATATGCTCAATTTAGTATGAAAATATTTATAAAAAAGTGTTACTTTTTGAAAAAATGCAAGATTAAAACAGGTGCTTATGCCTCAAATCATAAAAACTCCTTACCTCAAAAATTGTGAAATTGTTGCTTATATCACAAATTGTGAACCAGTTTCTCATGTTAGATCATAACATACCTCCAGGTTTTAATTGATGCTAGATCAGAAATGCGTCCATTAGAAGATGCAATTGTATACACAACTTTAAAATTTCAGCTGAACAGGTTTTAGAATCCTGTCAATATTTGCCACTCTTTTATTACAGAAAGTTAGAAGATTATGAAATACGCGTGTGAATTAGAAAACATTATCTGCATCAATCAAATGATATTACAATCCATTTTTTTAAATTTTTGACTTCAAAAAAGTTATGCATATATATTCTGACTCATGATTGCCTTGGATTTTTCAATATGTTTAATTTTCCTAAAACGTTTGTGAAGTTTCATGAAATTTTGTGAGTTTATATCTCCTATGAGGTTTGACGTTAAGATCATCTGGCTACTTAGTTCTTCTCATTTTATTTACGAAACATCGCTTTTTTCAATAATCCTTTGAATATAAGATTAATATACAGTCGAACCTCCATTTAACGAAACCTGTTTAACAAATTTCGCGATTTAGCGAATTTTTCTCTTTTTCCAATTAAAATGAAGATGGATTACCCCGATTGAACGAATAATAAACTCCAAATGATTTCAGCAGATAAAAGAATTTTTTTTATCAGTTTGTATTAGAAAAAAATTGGTCTACTTTTCAAATGGCATATCCTTTTTGTCCGAAACAGAAAAAGATTAACCTTGAAAGCAGCAAATATCGCCGGGAAAGGTTGTAGACAATTATTAGACTTTACAGGTGCTGATGAGCCAGGAGTGTAACCTATCGTGTAAGTTTTGAATAGGACAAGAAATTCCTTTTTTTTTAAATCTCATCCGACTCCTCATGCAGTTGATATTTTAAATTTCAAAATTATTTTAAATTTAATGACGGACTGCATATTCATGCAACTGATGCTGAGGAAACCGTTGATTTGTCAAAGCCAATGAATAGCAATTCTAATGAAGAATTGATGATGAAAATCCTACAAAAATGTTAATTTTTTTAGTACTTAACATTGCCTGGAAACTGAAAACATACCTCTTGCAGCAGGATGTAAACGAAGCAATATTTTCTTCTTTGCATAAAGTTGAAAAATTACTCTCAAGGAGCCAGGAATCAAAAAGATTGTCAAACATCTATCAGTCAATATTTTAAAATTTACAGTTAACTGTGGTGCGTAACAACTCTATAATAGTATTTTTAGCTGTTGAATAAAAAATGTGTAACTTCTAACTATGGATAATTTTTGTGTAGATGATCATTATGAAATTTCAAAAGATAAGTGCAAAAAATTAGTACTTTCTTTGGACCCCCATATAACGTATAACCCCGAATTACGAACAAGATATTCGGTCTCAAAGAATTCGTTAAATTAGGGTTCGACCAGTGGTGCACACAAGGGGGGGGGGGTGTCCTAGGGGTCCGGACACGCCCCAAAGCCCTTGAGTTTTTTCGATTGATGATAATCATATATAAATATATAACGTAAAATTTAATTAAGTTCTTGTAATTAACAATTTATATTATTAATTAATACTAATTATTAATTCAATAATTTATTTTTACTGTTTTTTTTTGTTGACAAAATCAGAAGGATCAATTGGTCTTGTCTTGAGGTATGATACGAGTTGGGGGACTTTCGACCATGTACCCCCCTCCCTAGAAAAAATTTTGTGTGCGCTACTGGGTTCGACTGTACTTCGAATGAGAGTGTGATACGGATTGCCCTCCAAATCCATTGTGAACCTTGTTTCTGCGTACAAAGAAAAAGTATTAAATATGAGCATGGTATAACTTGATACCATCTGGGTAAAACTTTATAGAGTTTTGGAGAGTAAAATATTAAACAGTTAAATGATGAACTTTGCACGCTAAAAGTGATTTGCGTCCCCCCCCCCTATAATACAACTTTATTCTTCTTTTGAAAACTGAAAGTCTGCTTTATGTTTCTAAAAAAAAGGAAACCACAAAACTCGGTTTAGATTCTTATTTCTGGCAAACCTAAAATCCAAAGAAACAACTTGAAATAACCAAAACAAAACAAGCAAAAAGAAAAAAAAATGATCTGAAAGATCTAACAATTCAGATTACAGTTCGGTAGTTTTACACTGGTACCCAAATCCGTCCATTGAATCAGTATGTATGAACCACACTGTTATGTCCGCTGGGTTCAGACTGAAATGAATCTTCCCTTAATAATGCGTTTGTAACCATGTGACTCCTCAAAAGGCTGCTGCTGCAAATAACAGGTCTCTTCTGTGAGCTTTTTGGCAGATTTAGGGTGGGGCACTTTTTCAAGGGTCGGGTCTTCTCTTGATTTTTCAAAACAAGAAGTTTTCGGAATAGTTGTAGGGTAGCCAATCCAGAGTGAGCCTAAGCTATGTTTATAAATCTCGCCTTCTTTTTGACGATTTCCCTTTTTGATTTCATAGATCGACATTTAAAAACAAGTTGGTAGATTTATTTTTCTTTTCATGGTCTTTAATTCAAGTCGGTGAAAGATGATGAGTTAAATAATATTGTCTGGAGGTTTTTGGGAAGTCATCTTCAAAAGAAATTTTCTTTTTCTTCACAGAAGGCAAATTATTTTTCTCGAAGCGTATTTGGGTGCTCAGATATCCGGCCATCTTTCATTTTACTTGCAGCAGCATTATAGCTTAAAAGATAAATTGTAATTCCATCTGTCTTTTGTTTTCCTTCGAATTATTTTTCTTCATAGAGTTATAAGTTTTTTGAAAATTAATTTAGTAAGGGAATTTGAAAAATGACAATAAAATTAGAATAAAAACTTTTTTTTATTTGTAAATAAATTTTCAAGTGCCCGAGGGTCGAGTGCTAGCATATCGTGCTTTCACGCCACGGGCCCGGGGCCCAAGCCGTGGGCTGGGCAGGGATGACTCAGCCTTTCATTCTTTCAGTGGGTGGATAAAATAAGCAGCACGCTTGCATTGGAATTTAACAATGGGTGTTCCGCGTCAGACTGACCAACTGACCGTAACATCTGGTCATGCAGCTCAGCGCTCAAGGTCATGAAAACTGAGATGAGAACAGTAGGCCTTGATCCTTATGGGCAGTTGCGCCACTAAATTTTTATAAATTTTAAGTTCACGAGACATTTTTTTATTGCAATGCAGTTTCTTAATCTATTTCTTTTATCTTCGTAGAAAATGCTAACAAAACCGTTTTCTTTGGTACACTTTAATAGAATCAGTCACCTTTGCTAAAATTATTAACTGATAATTTAAGCTAACAATTAATAATTTAAGACCTAAGGAAATGTTGAAAATTTTCTTTTTTCTCTAAGTAACAAATAAAATATTGTAATTGAGGAAAAACAAAAATAATACTAGAATAACTTAATATCCTTTTATTCACAATAAATTACAAAATAAATTTTTTCGAATGCAGTAATTATCAAAACCTTAAGTAAAACAAGGAACTTAAAATTTTTTAATATTTTAGCTCGCAGTTGTGCTGAATGGTATAGAGTTTTACTTAAATGGAAAAAAAAAAAATCTTTCAACGGTCAATT